GAAAATTTGACCAGAAAAGGAGTGCTGTTAAAAATGGGGCCAAGGAGAATGTGGTTGCTGAAGAGATTAGCACCATTAAGAAGCCAAAAACTTTATACAAAGAAAATAGGAAAGATGCCTTTCCCAGGCTGAGGGGTGTAAAAGTGTGAACCCTGCCCATCCTAGGCTAAGGGGTGTAAAAGTGTGAACTTGTTTGAAAGTCTTTGAGAAGAAAGTCCCTGGGTACCTTGCTCCTATAGGCTCCAGCCTAGTAAGTTGTTACCCCAGGATCCAGAAAATTGGACACCTGATGCTCAATTGTAGTCCCAGCTGCTCAGGATGCTAAGGCAAGAGGATCACTTGAGCCCAGAAATTAGGGGAAAACCTGGGCAACATAGTGAGACCCCCATATCACTGAAAAGTAAATAAATTGGTGGTAGGCTGAGCATGAAGCAAACCTCAACCAATTTCAGAAGGGCTAAAATCATAGCAATATGTTCTATGATCATCATGTCATCATGTGAATGAGCTAAGCACCAGTGGAAAAAAAAATACCCACATGATTGTATGTTTTCTCTCATATGTGGACACTAGATATTAAAAAAAGGAAAAGAAACATGGAGGAATCTCATAAAAATTGAAAGGAGATATGTAGAGTAAAGGAAAGAAAGGTGGAGAGGGAAAGGGAAAATACTGGGGAATGATATTGGCCAAATTATATTGTTATATTGTGTGCTTGTATGAATATGTACCAACAGATCCTACCATTGTGTACAACTATAATGTACCAGTAAAAAAAAAAATAAGTAAAAAAATCAAAGAAAAAACACCCAGGTGTTTTGTAATTTTAATGATATCTTTCTATTCAGTCCCTAGGAAATAAGATCATAATACCAAATCCAGAACTTTACTCCTTCCTGCAAGGTCAGGGTACCTTTTGACCAAACCCTGCCACAGGATAGCTGGGGGAGACTGGATGCCCATCATCTGCTTTGCAGCAATTTCTTTGGAGTAGCAAAGAGTATTACATAAATAACAGGTAAAGACAGAAAAGAAATCTTGGAAGCTGGAGAAAGAGGGAACCTTGCCCAGAAACCCCAGAGCAACTCTGTTTGTTAATTATTTCTGTGGTTACCAAGGGAGCATTGTCACAAGCCCCAGAAGATAACTGTCAGCAATTGGGCAAGTAGCCTCATCATTTTTCAGTGTCTTCATCTGTAGTTTGAGGGGGGCAGCTTATCTCCAGAACTCTGTCAGTAGTATATCTGGCAGGATAGTCTAGAACCCACCCTCCACTCCCATTTTTTCCCCAGGACACTGTGAAGTAGGAAAGTTGTCTCATTTTGGGCAGCTATAACAAAATACCATAGTCTGGGTAACTTAAAAAAGATTTATTTGTCAGTTCTAGAGGCTGGAAGTTTAAAATCAGGCACTGGCAGATTTGACATCTGGTAAGAACCTATTTCCTGGCTTACAACTGGCTGTTGTCTTATATTCTCACATGGCAGAAAACAGAGGAAGCAGGCTTTTTGGTGTCTCTATTAGGGCACTAATCCCATGCAAAGGCTCAACTCCTAATACCATGACTTGGGAGGTTAGAGTTTCAACAAACGAAGTTCAGGGGGCAGGGAAAACAAACATTTGGAGCATAGAAAAACTCATTTCTTCCTCACTTTGATAGGATGGTTACAAGTGGTGACTGGGCGTGGTGGCATTTGCCTTTAATCCTAGAAATTCCAGAGACTCAGGCAGAAGGATTGCAAGTTCAAGGCCAGCCTCAGCAACTTAGCCAGACTCTGTCTGAAAAGGGCCTAGGGATGTAACTCAGTTTTAGAGCACCCCTGGGTTGAATCCCCAGTGCCAAAAAATAATAATAATTATATAAATAAACCAACCGGTAGGGTCTGAGCTGTAGCTCAGCAGTAGAGCACATGCTTATCATGCATGAGGCCCTGTATTCAATCTCAGACACCAAAAACAAAAAAGCAAAAGACAACAACAACAAAACCCAACCGGTATTTACAGCTCAGAAATTATATGTTTGTTTGGTTTAATCCTGTTATACAGCAAAATTCCCAAATAAAATGAAGTGAAAAAATTCTATAAGAGTAGAGATTATTAAATCTCAATTTGGCACACCTTCTACCAAATAAAAAACAAATCATCTTCAGGCAAGTACTCTCTTGATCTATATTTAAACTTCTTCTTTCCCCATCCAAGATAAGCATTTCAGTCTGGCATGATGGCAAATGCCTGTAATCACAGCAACTCTGGAGGTTGATGCAGGAGGATTATAAATTCTAGTCTAGCCCCAAACTTGGTGAGTCCCTGTCTCAAAAAGACAAACAAACAAAAAAAGAGTTGGGAATATAGCTCAGTGGTATAGTGCCCCTGAGTTCAATTTCCAGTGCTGAAAAAAAAAAAAAAAGAAGAAGAAGAAGAAAAGATAACCAATTCATAGAGTTCAACAGTTAAGATGCCTTAAAAAAATACAGAGATGTCAGTATCTTTCACAAGCCCCCCAACCCCCAGGAAGGGGCCATACATGTTGAAAACAGGTATCAAGGGCACAGGCTGTGGGGCCAGATGTGCTATGTTGTGGTTTGGATCTGGAATGTCCCCCAAACACTTATGTGTTGAAAGCGTGGTCCCCAATGCAGCAAGCAAGTTTCAGAGGTGAGATCGTAGGCAATGATTGATTGGATCGTGGAGGCTCTGACCTCACCAGTGGATTAATCCATTTGATCAGTGGATTGATCCACTAGATGACTCCCCGAAACAGTGGAGCACTTCTCTCTGCCACGTCCTCCACCATGTAGTTTCTGCCTTGGAGCCAGTCAACAATGGACTGAATCCTCTGAAACCATGAACCAAAATAAATCTTTCCTCCTCTAAGTTGTTGCTTGCAGGGTATTTTGGTCACAGCAGTGCAAAGCTGAATAACATACTACATCCAAATCCAGCTCTTGGCAGGAAGTGGGGAGAAGAATGTCCACCTGAGGTAGAGGCAACATAAGGGTGAGACAGGGTCATGGGCTCCACAACCTATCACAGGGCCTCCCTTGCACACTGTGCTCAATAAATTTAAAAGTTTCTGTCACTTTCCTGATGTGGGGTATTATGAGGGCGGGTGACGCAGCACAAGCAGATCAGCTCTCAGAGAACTCCCACACCTCAGGCTAACCTCTACTTGTCCCATAGCCAAATCTCCCCCTTCCAACAGGGGAAATGAAGGGAAATTCATGGAACCTTTTCTTTACCATAAAATCAGATGTTATGCATGAAACGGGGATGAATGCACACCTAACGTCATCCCATAATTTATCTTTAGATAAAATGTGGCAGTCAAATCATGAAATGTTGAACTGTTAGCCATGATTGTTTGTTATATTTTATTTAAAATTTAATAGGGACATACTTCCTTTAGGAACTAGTCATGCCAAAAAGCTGAATTTCCCTTTAAGCACAGCAACTTTTGCTTTAGCTAAAATTATCTTAGAAGGCACACACTGCTCCTTCCTAAATCTGTGATTTGCCTCCCTGGCTTGTGGTCATTACAAAAGTAATCTAGCATGCTGGCCTGAGGGGCACTTATTGTTCAGACTGACAATCTTTGAAACCCAGTCTGGTGTTCCTTTATGTTTCTCCACTTCTGAGGTGCCCCATCTCTGCCATCACGGTAGCTGCCTAATCTCTCTGCATCTCAGTGTCACAAATTTTGGTGCTCGTCAGGACATTTCAATGATGACAGAAAACCAAAAACAAGAAGGGAAGTCTGAGGGCAGGGTGAGTCCCAGCATTTTGATGGGGCCTGAGCTTATCCCTCAGGTTCCATTCCCCATGTGGCCTTTTCTCCAATAGGCCCTATCTGTGGTGTCCACATCCTGCCTTATCCATCAGGGAGTGGGCAGTAGTCCCTTTACCCATGGTGTCCTTATGTTCCTCAGTGGCCCCAACAGTATCACATGGCCAGGCCTGAACCTGTCACTTAGGCCAGGGACAATGATACTAGAAATTATCATCACAAACCCATCCTTGCAGTCAGAGTGGGGTCACTGAGAGTGGAGTGAGAATGGCTCCCCACAGAAAATCAGGGACACTCTATCAGAATAGCCACATGAGGCCCTGCCTGGGGAAGGGTGTGTGGCTACACAACTCAGGAGCAAATCCTACTGTTAGCTCCCACAGGATCCAAAGGTGCAAAAACATGTCTTTTCCCAGTGAGTTGCTCTTCCATGCATTCAGAGTCTGCCTCAGATGGGCACACAGGCGTCCTCCCGGCATCTCGGCACCCCATCTCTGTGCTCATCCACACTCAGTGGCTCAAGAAAACATCCCTTGGGAATAGTCACTCCAGCTCTGACTTATGAGGCAGCAGGTGTCCAGGCTTTGCAGGAGATAGCTCAGTTGTGTTCTGATAAAAATCCTGCTCCTGCATTTGGGGCAGGATACAGAAATCCTCCCCTGCCACACCTAGAGTGGGGCTACCCTAGATGTGGGCTATCCTGTTCATGTTCGCCTTCTGGCTACCCAGGATCTTGCTTCCTTTCTCACTTCTATTACCCTCCACACCAGCACCACACACTATACCTTTGTGTGGTGATGGGAATGTTTGTCTCCCTATTGTCCCAGTGGACATGTTGCAGCTACTAAACATTTGAAATGAGGGTACAATAACTGAGGGACTAGATTTTTATCAGATTGCATTTAATTTATAACTAAATAGCCACAAACAGCTACTGTGTTGGAAAGCACAGTAATTCAAAGCCAAGTCAATCTGTCAAATAACAAAGATAGGTAAGCTGTTAGTGTATATTTACTCCCTATGAGAAAACAGACTGTTCGTTTGTTTTTACACTCCTGGGGATCAAACTCAGAGCTTCACATACGCTAGGCAAGCATTCTACCACTGAGCTATACCCCAGCCTAGATATATTTTTAAGTGTTATCTTTTGAGTGAATAGGGCCCTAGGGGTACATTCAGCAACAAAGACTAGCCTTAACCAAAAACATCACCATAATGAGAGAATGGACAAAATAAAGCTTTATTTGAACACCTCTGCAGATCATCCTGAGAGTTTATATCAGCAACGTAGAAACATAAGCCATTTCATAAACAGTGTTGTAACTATGGCTCACCAAGTCCAGTGCGTGGCTCTTTGTTGCTAATGGTAAAAGAAGCACCATTATTCAAAGTGTGCGTGCTATGGCCACTGCCACATCCTGGGATCATAGTATACTCGCCTGATCACTAAGAGGCCAGCACAGTAAGGATCCATAGAAGGTGTTCAGTACCCCAGCACTCCCTGAACACCTACACAGCTACAAGGCACTGTAGGGCAGATAGGGCAGCCTTTCCCTGCCCTTGAGGGCCCTGCTCCCTGATGACCTGCACCTGTGAGCAGACCCACACATGTTTTGTACACTTTCCATGAAATAAGCACTCAGTGGCCTCATGATTTACATCATTTTGCTAATGTTCGGAGGACTTAAGGCACATTGAAAAAGAGAGAGACTTGATTAGAAGCTCCAAGTCTCATCATTGGACCATAGTAGTTATTGCTGCAACCACAGAAAGAAGGGCAGAAAGAGTCAGGCAGCACTAGTGCTATAACAACAAGTCACCTGAGTTTTCACTGGCTTCTCTGAATGGCTGTACATATTTGGAGCATGTTCACCTCCTACCAAGAGGCATCTGGGGGGAAGAAAACCTTTCCAGATCATATCTTGGAGTAAAATGCCCACAGGAGTAGCTTCAGAAATAAAGGTGAGCATGTTCACCCTATTGCTTAGGAGTTAATTCTATTTATAACACAAACCAAGTACTGGAGAAATAGACACCAGGAAATGGACATCAAATTACAAGCTGGCAAGTTCTTAGGATAGCTATGCAAATATGTGAATCAGATTTCCAAAGACACTAAAAAACAAAAAGAGCATCCTCTGATTGTCCCCATGTTTCTCACCAGTGGAGGCAAAAAGGGAGATTTTCATAACTGCTACAACGAGCGTATATAAGGAAATCATCACAGTACTCTTGAGTGCTTGCACATTATTCTCCCCAAATATAAAAGTATAAAAAATAAGATCTCTACCTTTTGAATCTAAGAACATCAGCAGAAAACAATGATTGCTTCCAGCTCTTAAGTCGGGGAGCTGGCTCCTCTACTGGGCTTCTCGTCTCCCTGTACTGTCTCAAAGGGACACAGATGTGGATGACAATGATTTTAATTCTTGGAAACCAAGGCCAGGATAAGTGTAACAAGTGCTTCCCCCATCTGACAGTACCTCTTCACAGGTTATGTAACTCTGGGGCTCCCCCAGAAGAAAGAAAGAGTCTCCAGCCCCACTTCACACTCTGGGCGGTACATGGGGGCTATGTACTAGGACAGGAGTTAGCCACCTCAGGGTGACATTTGAGGAGAACGTGTAGAGCCTAGGTGCCGATCATAGTCCGAGTGTCCAGGTAGAAGTGTGCCTTCTCACTTGGCAGCAGCCTGCTTGTCTTTGTATTTCTGGAAGGTGCTCAGAATCTCAGTGATGACACTAGGGTCCTCCAGAGTGGTGGTGTCCCCCAAGTCCTGGGCTCCACCAGTGATGATCTTCCTCAGGAGCCGCCGCATGACTTTCCCAGATCGAGTTTTGGGAAGACGCTTTACCACCTGGTAAGGACAGCAGAAGCATCAGAATTGGGTACTTCTGGCTATACTGAGATAAGGACTCTGCTTGGGGGAATGATACTCCTCACTGGGGACTCGAAGTGGCTCACTGATATATGGGCCCACATCAAAGAAGGATGGGGTTCATCGTCTCTGGCTTTCTCTTCCTACAACCTGGATCTAATGCTGGAATTGACCCAAAGGACAGCATCAACCATGGGGGGCTTCGCTGAAGGCCACACCAGTCCAGGTCAGCTGAGTAATCACCTCTGTCCTAACAGCTATACCATGTGAGGCTCCCCAGGTAGCAGCAGATCCAAGCACAGGTACCTTATCTCCATCCCCAGACAGAGACTTAGTTGGTCTGTTTTACACAAGAGGTGAGAACCATTTAACAGAAAAATTTTGTCTTGGAGTCTGAAAATTTTAACATTTAACATTTTCAAATAGCTATGTCCATCAATGCAAATGCCAATACATTAAGAGCCGTGTTTGGGATCTCCCCCACCTCCCTTTGGTGCTGGGGAGTGAACCCAGGGCTTCATAAATGTGACATCTTTTAACAACTTTAGCAATTCTGCCTTTGGAAACATTTCACTTCACCTAAAAACTCGAGTCACTAGGCCAGTATTGTGAGTAATACCAAATGAAGCTAGGCCCCTTCTGCTCCAGAGGACAATCAGCAACTCAGGAATCATAATAGGAAAAAAGTTAATGAAGAAAGGAATGAGAAAAGCTAAAGGGATGAAAAGGTGGCCTGGTTCTGCCCCCTAGATCTTTCAGATGAGTGATCTCCCTCACTGGCACCTGGAGATGTGTTCAGAAAAACTACACAGGGCTGGAAAATTCTGGTATTTTCCACATGTCTCTTTATCTAATATCCCTTATTTGGCTGGGGTGTGGCTCAGTGGTAGAACACTTGCCTAGTTTGCACAAGGCCCTAAATTCAATATTGTTTTGGTCTGGATCATAAACATCCCCTGAAGGCCATGTGTTGAAGACTTAGCCCCAAGCCTGTGGTGCTATTGGGAGAGGGTAGAACCTTTAAGAGGTGGGACCCAGTAGAAGGAACTCAGGTCACTGGTAGTGTGACCTAGACGGAGATTTCAGAACCCTGGCCCCTCTCTCTCTCTGCTTCCCAGTTGCCATGACATGAACAGCTTGGCCCCACCATGTGCTCCCTGCCCATGATGTACTATGGCACTACAGGCCCAACCAACCATGGATGGAAATCTCTGAAACTGTGAACCAAAATAAACCTTTCATCCTTCTAAGTTGATTATCTCAGGTATTTTGTCACAGAAAAGGAAAGCTAACACAGATACCCAGATACTAGAAATATTATTTTATTTTTTGCAGAAAATAAAACAATATTTCTAGTATTCTTTACTACCTAGTACTGAACCTGTAACCAGCCTCCAAATGCCAAAGTACAAGAACATCTAATCTTGCCCAGAACTCTCCTAAACAGATAAGTGCCATTAGCTTTGGATGCTACAGATCCTCCCTGTCTCTTTTCGTTCTCATCTATCATCCAGGGAAAATACTACTAATGTCAGTTTTAACTGTAAAGAAGAAATACACTCACAAAAGCATCACTATTTGATCATTTGGGGAAGTAGGCTTAAAATGAGCAGTGCCATCCACTCACCAGAATCTGATCAGGCACGGCGTATTTGGCAATCTTGGTGGCCACCGTAGACTTGAGTTCACTCACCACGATGTCCGCGTCACCCACATCATCTTTCAGCACAATGAAAGCAAATGCAGCTGGAAGGAAAGCAAAGGTTTGAGGGTGTTGGACCCTACAAGATACCTCACAAAGCAGAATGTTTTGTATAACCTACCATAAATCCAAAAGATCTTTAAACCCTACGTTGGTGACACTATGGCAGCTGGTTTCCTTGCAGCCCTAAAGATGTATGACCGTTGCATGGCAAAGTGGCAGTGATTACTTTATCACAAGCACCCTGGAAGGGCATTCATGTGGTTGACAGTTTGGCACGACAGATACTGTCGTGTGAATTAGCTACTGTTGGCTCAGCTGTGCGAGAACCCGTGATGTGGGCTCATGGACACAGACAAGGTTGGCGGGCACCAGCCTCATGAGTATATAGCCAATATAATATAGCAGCCTTGCCACAGTGGCTGTTTATTTTACATTAAATTAAATTATAAACGCATTCCTGAAATGCATGAGCCACATTTTGAGTGCTAATCGATACCACATGCGACAGGGGCTGCTCTGCTGGACAGAGCAGATATAGATATGGAACAGTTCCATCATGACAAAAAAAACTCTGCTGGGCAGCCCTGGCCAACCCATATCTTAGTGCAAATACTAGGTTTTGCTTCTCAATATCCTAGCAAGTTACAGAAAGGATGTACAATGGATTCCACTGTCACACAAGGATCTAATCCTATTGTTCTCCACATGAATAGTCACTTCTCCAACACCATTTGTGATACCCTGTCCCTTCCCACTGACTGGTAACATCCTTTCTCTCATACATTAAGTTTCTATATACATGTGTGTAGCTCTTTTTATGGTTCATTTGCCTGTTAATTCCTGCACTAATTCCCCTCATCTTAATTCATTCTTCTTCCAGTACATATCTCACCTAATACACTATGTCGTTTCCTCATTGACCATGTTTATTTTTGTTCTCTCCCCTCTGCTGATGGTTCCCTAAAGGTTAACACTCTATTTTATCCCTGCTGTGTCCCCAGCTCTGATACCATGCACTGAACACAACAGATGCTTAATAAATGCTTGTTAAATCCATCAGTAAATGATTATTTCCCAAACAAACTACAATCTGCAGGCAAGTACAGCTTTTGCCTATGCAAATCACCTGGCAAACTCCTATTCATCCCTCAAGACCCAGTTCAGCCCCTTTGTACTCTGTGATACTTTTCCTGACTCTGCCCGTAAAACCAGTTATGGTACTTGCTGTGTAAAGTTTGTTGTCAGTCCTACTACCCCCATCCATGAGGTTGTGAGATCTTTACTGGAAAGAACCCCATTTTTGTCATCCTGTTAGTTGATATGGGATTGGAAGTGGGCCTGGACTATTGAGTTCTTATAGAGATGAAGGGAGGAAACCACATGGAAGGAAGAAACAGTTAAGAGTTAGAAGGAAATGGATAAGGCCCAGGATATCAGAGGTCAGAGGCATGAGACCCTGGTCAGAGGCTCAAAGGGTCTGAGTCTTAATTAAACTAAACTTAATTAAACTGGGGCTCCCCTCACTCAGACCAAGTGCAAAATAGAGGGTGTGTTGATGGATACATAACAGCTTTGACAATCAGCTTCTAACCAAGAACTTAATGGGTTACTCATATATTACAGATAAAGAGATGTTTAAATTTGTTAGAAACCAAGAAAATGCATATCATTATGCCCATGAAATGTACATTTTCTCCCAACAGCCTGGCAGGTATGAAAGGCCAGGTGATAAAGACTTGCTTAGGATGAGCAAAAATGCTTAGAGCTGCTGATGGGTATGGAAAGAGCCCAGGAGCCCTGAGAGCACTGAGTCAGGTGCCCTGCAGCCAAGACTCTCTCCTCTGAAAAAGCCTGAGAGACTCCTGCATCCTGGGCTATGCCACCCGAGGAGAGGACAACCCCAACATGATCTGCCAGACCTTAAGCTGCCCTGTGAAAGGTAGTGACTATCACATACCCCTACATTTTATTCCAAGTTTGCTTTCCAATGTACCTTCCCTGCCTTTGCACTTATTTTCTGGGGTTTTTCCAGGGGCTGATGAACCCCCAGGACAGGGCAGAAGGTACCTGGGATCACCAGCCCCTTTCAGCAATACCTTTGTCCTCTCAGGGCCCCAGACCCTGAGCAGGAAGCACTGCTCAGCCACGAGACTCAGACACACTCAGCTCCCACAGCTTCCAGACTCCAGAAATGTACCAGTTCTGAGGATCTCCAGAGGTGGGGGTCTAGATCCCTGCCAGTGTGAGGTCCCTTTAGAAGTTACCCAAGTCATATGTGAAGAACTTTCCTATCTTCACTCTCTTCCCACCCTAATTATGTCCAGCCCACACCTCTGCTGGCCACTGCCACTCACAGCTCTCCCATTAACAATTCCAATCTCCTATTAACAATGCCACAGCAGCCTCATCAGCATATCATGGCAACTGAAAATGCTGTTTGTAAAGCATTTAAATAAATTTAAAATTCTACAATGGGTCAATTTGAGGAAAGTACTTGAAGGATTGAGTTGTAGCTCAGTGGTAGAGCATATGCTTAGCATACATGAGGCCCTGGGTTCAGAGCCCGACACCAAAGCAAATAAAAATAAAATAAAGTAGTTGGAGTAAATAGTGGAACAGTGGAACACAAATGTGGCAGGGAGGCATGAGATATTTGGGACAAGTTGTGACACAGGATGTCCCTAAAAGAAGGAAGGTAAACACTCAATCCCAGGCTACTGGGTAGGGCAGAAGAGGTCTGCCTGTCCAGCAGTGTCCTGGAATAGGATCAGCATATGTCTGGGTCACACGATACCAGGTCAGTGTGGCCACTGTTGACCTGGCTTTACAATACTCCAGCACTCCTGCCCTTCCCCAGACACAGCCACTTAGGAATCAGCAGGCTTTGGAACAAAGTGTGTCCTCAGTAGAGAATACCATTCCGATCACTCATTTTACCTCCCCCTGCATGTCAACATGCAATGGGAATCACGGGTCAGGTTTCTCCAGAGTCCCAGCACACTGCTCCTGCACTGTGACATACAGATATGGCAAAGGCAGAGCTGACGCGAACATTGTGACCAAGCAGGTGAACAGGGGAGGACTAATATGGCCGGACATTTTCTTATGAACTCTCTGTAACAGGGCTTGAACAGTGCCAGGAGGAAATTTCTCAAGACCAGCCAAGGGTCAAACAGGTCACAGCTTCTTGTGAAAGAGTGTCCTTAAAGGTCAGTGAAGCCTGGGTATTTCAGAATTCACCCTAGCCTAACACACACAATGTCCAGATTCCTCAGCCAAAATCTCCACTTGAAAAGAAAAGCAACAGCTTCACCCATTAAAAAAAAAAAAACTTGTCCTGCCCTCCATGTCTACTCCTTTTTTTAAATTACTTATTTATCTATTTATTTATATATGACAGCGGAATACATTACAATTCTTATTACACATATAGAGCACAATTTTTCATATCTCTGGTTGTATACAAAGTCTATTCACACCATTTGTGCCTTCATCCATGTACTCTGGATAATAATGTCCATCACATTCCACCATCATTTCTAACCCCATAGTGGGGTCGGGAGAGGGAGCATGGGAGGAATAGATAAACTCTAGATAGGGCAGAGGGGTGGGAGGGGGAGGGAGCAGGTCTACTCCTTTTATTAGGGTTCCTGTGATGGGCATGAGATCAGGAATCAAAGAGGAGTGTATCCTGCAGCCACTTACCTTCCCCTTTGATGTCATGGGGGTAGCCAATGACAGCAGTTTCCGGCACTGCAGGGTGGTCAGCCTGTGCACGACAGAGAAGAAAAGTGCAAAACATGGTGACCCCAGGGTGCCGAAGGTAACTCAGGTTGCACATTCCCATCCCAACTCAGAGGTAAGAGAGGCATCACAGAGGTGCAGGGGCAAAGGAGAAGGTCCAGGCCAAGCTCACCATCGCATCCTCGATCTCCGCGGTCCCCAAGCGGTGGCCACTGATGTTGATGACGTCATCCATGCGCCCTGTGATCTGGTAATAGCCACCCTCAGTTCTGTGAGCCCCATCTCCTGTGAAGTAATAGCCTGCACCACAGCAGGGGGAACAGCACCAAGAACTTGAAACCAGAACCCACAGAACTTCCAGCTTCCATGAGAAACAGAGGGACCCATGTTCCAATCTCACTCTACAGACCCAAACTGAAGTCCAGTGCTTGGCTGAATTCCTGACCTCCTGGCCTTTCTGTCAACTCCTAATGCAGACACCTCTAAATAGTACCACTTGGCTGTGTTCTAGTGAAGGGGCAGGTGGCACTGAACAACAGAACATTGATCCTGTGAAGACTGCATAAGTCCAGGAAGCAGAACACAGACAAGTATTGCCTTCAAGAAGCTTCTCCCAAATGATGAGTCTCAGCTCCCTAAGCTTAAGATTTATTGAGAAAATTACTGGTTTCAAAAAGATAGGGAAGATGATGTTCATATACACTTCTGATCCAATAACACAAAAGCAAACCAAGAAAAAAATAAAAGTAAACTGCACCTCAAATAGAGCATTAATTTACAGGATATATAAAGAATTCAAAAAACCTTAAGCCTCCAAAACAAGTAACCCAATCAATAAATGGGCTAAGGAAATGAACAGATACTTTACAGAAGAAGAAATACGGTTGGTCAACAAATATATAAAAAAAATTTCAACATCTATAGCAATTAGAGAAATGCAAATCCAAACTACTCGAAGATTTCATCTCACTTCAGTCAGAATGGCAGCTATTATGAAGACAAACAACGATCAGTGTTGGCAAGGATGTGGGGGAAAAGGTACACTCATAAATTGCTGGTGGGACTGCAAATTGGTGTAACCATTATGGAAAGCAGTATGGAGATTCCTCAGAAAACTTGGAATAGAACCACTATTTGATCCAGCTATCCCACTCCTTGGTTTATACCCAAAGGATCTTAAATCAGCATACTATAGTGAGGCAGCCACATCAATGCTTAAAGCAGCTCAACTCACAATAGCTAAACTATGGAACCAACCTAGGTATCCTTCAACAGATGAATGGATAGAGAAAATGTGGTATACATACACAATGAAATATTACTCAGACTTAAAGAATAATGAAATGATGACATTTGCAGGTAAATGAGTGGAGCTGGAGACTATCATACTAAGCGAAATAAGGCCAATCCCCAAAATCCAAAGGTTGAATGTTTTCTCTGATATGTAGATGCTAATCCATAGTGTGCAGGAGGGGGGGGGGTGTTGGGAAGAATAGAGTCACTTTGGATTAGGCAGAGGGGAGTGAAGGGAGGGGAGGGGGATAGAGAGTAGAAAGGATAGTAGAATGAGTCTGACATTAATACTCTATGTGCATGTATGACTATATGACCGGTGTATTTCTACATCATGTACAACCAGAAGAATGAGAACTTACACTCCATTTATGTATGATGTGTCAAAGTGCATTCTACTATCATGTATAACTAATTAGAATAATATTTTTTTTTTAAAAAGTAAACTGCAAGAAAACTCCCAGCCTTTATGACAGTTTTCCAAAATGGTTTCTTCATTCATCTTTCCTAATAGCTAACAGGATGCCCATTATGGGCCAGGTGCTGTGCTTACGGGATTCACACCCATGTCCACCAAGCCCCACACAGGCCCCTGAGGTGGGACTGACTTGCATGGTAGAGATAAGAAATGTCAGGGAGGAAAAGGGAGAGAAGGCTGGATTTAAATTCATGCCCCCAGAGGGCCTATTCTTAACCACTGCATTGCAATGCACTCAACTGCTATTAACTTAAAACGTTTCAGTAATCCACGGAAATACGATTCCATGAATCTATGGGATAGGCATGAGAGTCCCTTCTTCAGCACACTCACCTGGATATGCCTTGAAGTAGGAATCTATGAATCTCTGGTGGTCGCCATAGATAGTCCGAGCCATTCCTGGCCAGGCCTGGGAGATGCACAGGGCCCCAGAGACATCGCTGCCCTCTATGACATTTCCCTGCAGACCCAGGGAGACGTGTGTGAGAGAATGGGTAGACTGATAAGCAAGGAACTGAAAATCAGCTTGGCCTGAGGCAGAAAAATGACAAGCCAGGGTCCAAGTAGAACTGTCTCAAACTTTCCTCCAGAGGACCTAAGGAAAGCCCTGGGCTCGCTCTATGCTGTGATGCCATCAAATGTCTCTCTGAGAGGGGACTGCATAAGGGCTGCATGGGGACTCTGGTCTGTGCTTTAGAGGCCAGACCCTGGGTGCACACAATGAGGGAAAGGAGAGTAGAACAGACAGGGGCAGCAGGAGGATGCCTGGTGATTGCAGTTAGGTGCGTGTGCAGAGGAACAACCTCCACAGGGCCCTCACACACCTTCTCATCCAGGAGAGCAGGGATGATGCCAAAAAAGGGCCTCATCGCCATGCCAGGGAGGATTTCTGCCCCTTCTTCTGAAGGCCGAGGTGCAATGCAGATGCCTCCTGTTTCTGCAAGGATAATGAGAAGAAAGGCCAGATTAGCTTGGGAGTCAGTGACAAGTTTGTCCAGACTATATCCTCAAAGGACATGTGACACCTCCTCTGTGCTCTGCCAAAGTGGGAGGTGGATGGGACCATGTTTTCTGGAGCACAAAAACTTTTTTTTTTTTTTTGTACCAGGGATTGAAGTCGGGGCACTCAACCCCTGAGCCACATCCCCAGCCCTTTTTTGTATTTTATTTAGAGACAGGGTCTCACGGAGTTACTTAGTGCCCCGCTGTTGCTGAGACTGGCTTTGAACTCATGATCCTCCTGCCTCAGCCTCCCAAGCCGCTGGAATTACAGGTATGTACCACTGCGCCTGGCTGGGGCAAACTAGGCTTGGGTTTGGGTCCCTCCACAGGGACACAAGCAGAACCCTAATGCAGGGCTCAGTCCTGGAAATTCCACATTCTGCAGCTGGGGCAGAGGCCTCCCTCCGCTCAGGGACCCTTCTGTGTCAGACCCTGTGTGAAATAGGAGAGGGCAGAGTCCACTCACTTACATAGTAAGATGGAGGAAAAGAACTGCTCTGGGTCAGTGCCCATTTGACCCAACAAATAAGAGAGGCCCACAAAGCCTGTCCTCGTGTCATCTCTCCCACTCGTCTCTATCTGCATGGAAATGCATCCCGAGACTCAGCTGTAAAAGAATCTCCATCTGTGACTTTCTGAATGAATAAGAACTGTGCTATTCAGAACATCTCACTTGCTGGCTACTTGAAGATGGAGACCTTGGAGAGTTGCGTTATTTTATCAGCAGTGACCTCTTGCCCAAACATCCCAGTACGTCAGACATCACAGAGAGGCGGGGACAGATCAAAACAAAATGCCCACAGAAACACTTCCTTCTCCCACTAGAATTTAAACTTATGGTCTCTTGTAACACAGTGCCCTGTCCCCATCAGATGTACCAGTGTTTAGAAAAGAGCCTCTTGGGGCTGGGAATGTAGCTCAGTGATTGAGTGCTTGCCTAGCATGTGAGAGACCCTGGGTTGGATTTCTAGCAACAAGGAAGGAAGAAAGGGTGGAAGGGGAGGGAGGGAAGAAAGAGAAGGGGAGAAAGAGAGAAAGGAAGGAAAGGAGGGAAGGAGGGCTGGAAGGCGGGAGGGAAGGAAATAGGAAAGAAGAAGGGAGAAGGAGAAGGAAAGGAAAGTGAGGCGAGGCAAGGCAGGAAGGGACCCCTAAAGAGAGAAGTGAATACTGAGCACTTACTACATGCCAGGCCTGGGCCACATACCTGAGTTGTGTCATCTCACTTCATCCTCACTGGAGAGCCTGTGAGGGAGTACTCACTTTACAGGTGAGGAAACAGAGGCTCAGAATCATTACACACAATCTTAACAGCTGTAAAACAGCAGCCATGTGTCGAAGAGACTCATGCACGTGGTACTCATCACACTTCCTTCTGACAGCTCAAACCTTGGTCTCAGCCTCACCCACTAGACCCTCCAGAATCAAGGCTTATACTGAGACCAGCACCCCCAGACCATGTCTCCTTCTCCTTGGGAATATTCTCACCTGTCTGCCACCATGTGTCCACCAGCGTACATCTGCTGTCCCCCACCACCGTGTAGAGCCACTCCCAAGCCTCATGGTTGATAGGTTCTCCCACTGAATCCACACATGAAAGGAAAAAAGAAATTCACAGATCTCAAATAAACCCGAAACTAAAAGGAAGAGATTGCCAAGGGGGAAACAGCTCTGTAATTTTTCTAAAGGACATCTGGGGAGACCTGAAAAGCTGTAAGTTATCATGTTTGTGGTCATCAGAGAAATATAAAGGATACCAAGGTGTTTTCACTATTAGGAGGTCAAAAAGCAAAAAGTCACCAAGAATGTGGGAGACACAAGTATCACATACACTATAGGAAAACAGTTTGGTACAGAATTTTTTTGAGGGGGAATTGAGACATATTTATTAATATTTAAGACTAACTATGCCTAATACAACTACTTTAGACAATCATTGAGCCAAATATTTTAAAGCTAAATATAGAGCTGGGGATGTAGCTTTCTAGAATACATGAAGGCCTGGGATCCATGCTGAGTAACAAAAAAGTAAAAATAATAAATATACATTTTCCATATCACCCCAAAATTTGACTCTTGACACACTCCCCAAAAATGAGTGTAGAGCTGGGTTGGTGGCATGTGATTGAGAGGCTGAGGCAGGAGGATCACAAGTTCAAAGCCAGCTTCAGCAAAAGTGAGGTGCTAAGCAACTCAGTGAGACCCTGTCTCTAAATAAAATACAAAATAGGGATGGGGATGTGGCTCAGTGGTCAAGTGCCCCTGAGTTCAATCACCAGTACCCCACCCAAAAAAAAAGAGTGTAAATACCCACCAAAAGCGGACACATACAGTCATAGCATCTCTGTTCATAACAGAAACTATAAACTGCCCTCAAGAGTAGAATGAATAATAAATTATGGTATATCCGTCCAATGGGATACCACAGAGCTGTGAAAATAAACAAACCTCTATGACTCACACAGCATGCTCTTTGCCTATTTATACAAAATCCAAAACACACGAATTAACCAGGAACACTGACCCACACCTATAAACCCAGCGACCGGGGAGACTAAGGTAGAAGGGTCGCAAGTTCAAGGCCAGTCTCAGCAATTTGGTGAGCCTCAATCTCAAAGTAAAAATAAAAAGGGCTAGAAATACAGCTCAGTGGTAAAGCTCCCCTGGGTTCAATCTCCAGTACAAAAGCCAAAAATCAAAACAAAACAAAAAAATCCCACAAAAATTAACCCACTATAAGAGAGGCCAAATAGCAGTCATGGATAGGGGATACTATACAGAGCCTTCTGTATTCTATTCTATATTCTTCTATTTCTAGAGCTTGACTGGGATGTTGGTCAGCAATTTAAGTCTGTAAGTAAACATTCCTCAAGCTAAGCCCTTGACATTTGTACATTTTACCATGTCTTATACCTCAATGGGAAGGAAAAAAGAAGTGCCTCTGCCTTAAGATTCTAGTGTCTGCCCTGATAAAATGCCTCCAAAGGGCTAGTATTCAGCCTATGCTTACCAGTTTAGACCCACTGTTGCTAAAATAGTGAAATACTCTCCTGTTGGCTGCCTCCTGCTCAGAAGCACCCCCCCCCCCGCCCAGTCCAATGTCTATCCTGGAAAAACAGCCCATGTTACCACTAAGCCCATCCTGATTCTGACAGCCCATTCAGGCAGACCTTCTCCTGCCACAAGGTAGGCCACTCACCTGACCCCAGTGTCCGCAGGGAGGAGCGGTCATACTTCTTCACCCAAGTGTCGCCATATTTCAGCAATAGCCGGACAGCTGTTGGGGCGCCATAGAACTGATTGATCTTTAACCTCTGCACTGTCTCCCAGTACCGACCTATAAAAGAGCCCAAACCCACAGTCAATAGGAGAATCTATCAAACACCATCTATTTTAAACACATCTGGAGACAAGCCCAGTGTTACTGAGTGCTGGGTATAGGCAGACATCTACATGTAGTGCAGTCACAAAAAAAAGAGACCCATACCTGTCCCTGACAGAAAGGGGTCCTAAAGGCAGCCTCCTCCCAGTACTCCCCAAATCCAAGGCAGCATGTTTGCCCCTGGTTTTGGATGAACTACATCCACAATGTGTACCCCACATGAGCTAGACAGGAATTAGCTCAAAGGGATATCACTATGAATTTTCAAAAATGACATCAAACTTTGACATAGTCACAAATTAAAGGGCCCCTAAAGGAGTTAGTGGTCTTACCCCTGGTAGCACAATCTCTGCTGTGTGTGCACAAAGCCATGTACCCAGTATGCCTAGCATGCACACACCTGACCCCTCCTCCCACCAAAACCAAACTCACACCATTCCCTAAAACAATGCAAGTAAGGCCAAACCTGCCATAACTCTCCACCCCTAACATTGCCCCTATACCCTCTTCCTTGGTTGTATCCAGCCCCATTTGGCAGCTAAGAGGAGCCAGGGGAGGTAAGAAAGGAGTCCATGCACTGTAGAATGCTCGGGGCAAGAGTCCACAGGCAGAGTTGCTATGGTTCTATTACATTAAAACAAATTATTTGGGGACAGTATGTTATGTGAGAGAAGATACCGCAGGCAGCAAGATGTGACCATGTTCTCAAAGTGATCTCAGTTTAACAAAGGTGGCTCCAGGCCACACATGGCCTTAAAGGATCTAGCAGAAGGGCTAGGAAGGACAGGATAGGAGGGCAGATGGCCTGGGCTTCAAGGAAAGGATGGATCTGGTCAGGTGAGGTGGCCACAGAGGGAAGAGGAACAGTGCTGAGGTACTGGCCCAAGGCAAGCAGCTTAAGTTAGACAGACAGGAACACTGCAGTGGGTGGTTTTGAGATGAAGTAGCTTCTGGCTCATAATCAGACTCCTTCATATTGAGCATCTAATCTTCCTGAAGACCCTCTGCTAGGTGCCAGTCCACTCAGCAGTGCTCAAGGCCAAGCTTCTCCAGTGTCCACTTGTCAACCACAGTGTTGTCTTGTCAACCACAAGAACCACCCCTTTCCAGACCTCAGCCTATGCCCTAATGCAGGCCTTTTCCCTTCCCTACCACCAGTACCGGGACCCAAACAGGATCTTCAGTTTTTACCAGCATCAGGGTAAACAGGAGTGCTCTCAAAAAGGACACTGGTGGCTCCATTGCAGAGGGGCCCATACACCACGTAGCTGTGTCCTGTGATCCAGCCAATGTCAGCCACACAGCCAAAGACATCGCCTGGCTGGTAGTCAAACACAAGCTGTGAAAGCAAAAGGGGGACCATTAGGAGCTTGTCCTTCCACCCCACCACATGCCCACACAACGTGTGCATTGGTCTGTAACTGAGATGCAGTCACCATGGCCACCAGTGGCAGGATGACAGAGTGCATTATGGAGGCTTCATATAGTGCACAGAAAGGGAAATACAAAACTACAGGTATAAGAAACAGTAGATGTGAGCCTGTGGGAACTGTCTGGGAGAGCTGGCAATGTCCCTTTTCTTGAAATAGGTGTACACTCAGAGGCAAAACTTTACTACCTAGTTGTCTGTTTAAGATATGGGCACCTGGACTGAGGGCATAGCTCAGTGGTAGAGTGCATACTGAGCATGAACAATCCCCAGCACATGCACACACACGCGCACACACACACACACACACACACACACACACACACACACACATACACACCACGCACATACACGGGCACCTTCCTGTATTACTTTATGCTGCAATTTTTAAAACCCCTTAAAAGCTGCAAAACAGAAAAGGCAAAAAGACCCACAACTTCATTGAGTATCATTAGCTTCTAAGAGCTCGAGGAGAGATATTTGTATTTCCTTCATTCTGGCTGAGTGTCCAACCAGAGCCTAATCCTGTTTCGGGATCCAACTGCCCATCTGTAGGAAACACAGAGAACAGAGGGACACCAGGGACAAATGGCCAAGTGCTACAACAAAGTTTAAGAAAATGAAAGGGATAGAGGGGAACCCATCCCTTTCATTTAAAAAGACATCAAAAATATTGTGACCAGGGCCAGGCTGAGCACAGTGGCACACACCTTTGATTACATTGACCTGGGAGGATGAGGCAGGAGGATCCCAAGTTCAAGGCCCCCTCAGCAACTTAGTGAGAATCTGCCTCAAAATAGAAAATAAAAAGAATTGAAAATGTATCTCAGGAATAGAGCACCTCTGGGTTCAATCCCCAGTATCCAAAATAATAATAATAATAATAACAGGCAAGAGTAGGCTCTAATGTCCAGGGATGAACTTGTGGATAGGACAAAACTATAAAAAGAAAAACACAGAACAGTGATTATTTGGAATATTGAAGAGGGGGCTATAGTCATAAAGGGGAGGTTGGTAACATTCCATTTCTTGACCAAAGTGGCATTTGCCTTATAACTCGTTAATTTGATTTGAATAGTTTTCTTTATCTATGTTCTAAAAAGATGTTTTTAAAACTCTGGTCAAGTTGGCCCCCAGGTCCTGCTCCTGAAGACTGCTGGTCAGTTTCTCCAGGGTTTGCAGATAGCTCAGTGGAGTTTACAAGTGGCCAGGTGAAGCTATTTTTCCAAACTAGGGAGCTATTTTTCCAGGCTCCACAAGAAAGAATGCATTTTCATTCTGTGGCCCTCATCACAAAATGTTCAAAAGTCAAAAGAATTATTAATACAACTTGAACCCAAATTGCCAAGTCTGTCATGAGACTGCAGAATTCTCCCCCTATAGTGCATGGAGGGAGATCAGTCTCTAAGGGCCCAGCATCCAGGCAGAACCCCAACCCCACTATACACCCCAGACATCACTCGCACCTCCAACACACTCCAGAGTCAACCATTCTAAACCAGGCGAGCAGCACACCTGTAATCCCAGCAACTCAGGAAGCTGAGGCAGGAAGATACCAAGTTCAAGGCCAGCCTCAGCAATTTAGTGCCATAAGCAACTTAGCAAGACCCTATCTCAAAATAAAAAATGAGTTTGTAGATCAGTAGTAAAATACCCCCAGTTCATGTCCAATATCAAAAAAGAAAGGAAAAAAATCACAAAAACCTAAAACCCTTTTCCCTAAGAGCCTTAATTCTATAGTATAAGCATACATGCATGTGTACACACACAAACACATGTGCACATATACACAGGCAAGCATATGCACATATACATGTACCCACACACATCTATATGCATGCAAACATGCACTTACACACACACACTTGTGCAAGAGCCCACATACTAAAATCCCAGTGATTATGATGAGGGCACCAACAACATATTGCGCCAATGGCTTGACACACCTAGTCACCTGAGCACAGTCACCTGAACTGCAGGATAGCCCCAAATGTGAGGACTCTTAATCCCACCTTACAGCAAAGGACACACAGACTAATCCAGCCACTGCAGGGCATAGCTGGGACACACATCTGGTTGGTAGTTCACAGTTACCTAAACAATCTTTTTCCTATGTGTTGCTACCACTGAGCAGAGAAAGTTGCATAGTCGCCTACTTTCTTGTGGATGCCTAGGTCTCCCTGCATCCCAAGTCCTGAGCACTGGAATGGGGCAGTCCCTAAATATCAAATGAATGAGAAGAAACACACTTCTCTTTCCATTATTTTTCATATTTAGTCTTATCTATAGAAGCCTTAAAAGTATTCCTAACACTTCAAAAAACCTCCACATATTAAAAAGTCATTCAAAAGATGTCCCCCATGCCTATAACCCCACTTTTTTTGCTCATGTAAGCAGTGTCTGGGGAACACTTTGAAAACACAAATAGGCTGGGCATGGTGGCTATAATCCCAGTAACTAGGGAGGCTGAGACAAGAGGATCACAAGTTCAAGGCTAGGCTGGGCAATTTATCAAGAACCTCAGTAACTATGCCAGATCCTAAGGCAAAATTTTAAAAATAAAAATAAAATAGTTGAAGATGTTGCTGAGTGATCGAGTGTCCTTGGTTTCCATTTCCAGTACAGAAAGTAAGAAAAAAAAACACAAATAACAAAGAATCCCACCACATTTGCAGCTTCCCTAATGTATGTTTTATATAAATTGATAGAAACAGATCCACTTTGACTTTCCTGGCATTGGGTCTCAGTGATTATGTGTTCCAAAACATTTTTACTTACACAATCTGCCAATCTTTGTAACATCCCTACTAGGAATTGAGGAGGAGTCGGGTTTCAGATGAGCAAACTGAGGTCAAGAAAGGTCCAGGGACTCAGACAAAGTCAGCCAGCAGCTAGAGGTAAATATGTTAATATATATTCATGTTCGGCATGACATATGATCTGCTCAGCTGGCTCTGTACCACATCTGTCTTTCTGCCTCACGGTCAATGTGCTGGGCATAAGTTCTGTGCTCTAGCACTTCCTTCTCTTTCCCTCTGTAATTCCCTCTAGGAAACCTCCTCACTTCACTTTCATCTCCAGGAGGCACTTCCCCAAGAGACCCAGCCTGCCCAGTCAGAATTTTCCATCTTACCCTTACTGCTACCCATAGTGACCAAGTCAGAATTAACTCTGGACCCCAACCCAGCCAAGATTTTTCTGAGACTGTTGAGGCTTTCTCTGGCTCCTGGGTCAGCCTGGCTGGGAAACTCACCTTCAATACAAGATTGCCAAGGCAGGGAAAGATGCCACCAGCCAGGTCAGCTCTGCTTCTATGGGCCTAGACTTCCAGGTCATCTGAGCCAGTCATTTCCCTTCACCACTGCCGCCAGCAAGAGTTAAGCTGGCTTTTTACAACACAGTTTAGTCCACAGATGGTAGCTCAAAACTCAAGTCCACATGGGACATGTCAGCTACTCCCCAAGGTAACTACGAATACCCTACTAAATCACTATTCCCCACCCATCCACATTTAAACGAGTACTGTTTTGCAAATGCATTTATTGGAATAAAAAATATGCTCTATCATTGATTTATACTGCAAAAGTTGTGGCCCACTATAATGCAATTTCCACATAGTAATTTAAGTTTCCTTATAAAAGTAATTTTTTTAAAAATTTTACTTTTGAAATGAGCAGGAGATAGAACCCAGGGCCTGGCAGTACCCATCTTCAGCCCTCCTCCTCACACAGGCCTCTCTACCTTGTGAGTCAGGGCAGCATACAGCAGGTGTGGATGAGCCCCTTGGGGGTACCAGTGCTTCCCGAGGTTACAGCATATGCTAGGTAAGTGCTCTGCCACCGAGCTATACCCCCTTGTCCTTTTTTAATATTTTGAGACAGGGTCTAAGTTGCTCAGGCCAGCCTTAAATTTATAATTTTTCTGCCTCAGCCTAGAATAGCTGGGATTTTTCAGTTCTGGGATGGAATCCAGGACCTCACACACACTAAGCCTGTGCTCTACCACTAAGTCACACCCCCAGTCCTTGCAAATTTCTGTTGTTTAGACTCTTGTATTTCCCCAATAGAGTTGTAATATACAACTTTTTACATTTCGGATGAAGCAAGGGACTCATGAAGTCAGAAGTGCCTGGGCCCAGAGCATCAGAACACAGCCCTGCTGATGAGCAGCATCAGCCTGATGTCAGAGCCAGGGAGGCTCCATCCCACAGGCATCAAGCTGACTGAGGAGTGGGGGCAGATTAGAGGACTGCAGGGCCACAGTCAGGCTTGGATGAAGGGCCCTGTCTTGTCTCACAAGCATACATCCCTGCTCCACTATCTCAATGGCATGACTCACAGTGGCCCTGCTTATGAGTACACCATAACAAAACACCATATCACATCAAGAGGCATCATCCCAACACAGGAGGAATTCCAGCCTTAACTGCATACCTCCCAACCCTGCCCAGAGCCTGCTGGTGGCATGGCAGTACCCATCCTCAGTCCTCCTCCTCACACAGGCTTCTCTACCTTGTGAGTCAGGGCAGCATACAGCAGGTAGCCTGCCTGGGTGTGGACAAGCCCCTTGGGGGAACCAGTGCTTCCTGAGGTGTATAGCATGAAGAGCATGTCCTCGCTGTCCATGCTCTCTGGGGTGCACACAGGGGCCTCTTTGGCCATTTCCTAGAAGGGAGAAGAAACACACAGCAGATACAGGGCAGTTAGTCTCTCCCCTTCATTCAGCTTCCCTGAGAACACCATTTCCCCAGCTGCAGTGGGACTCAGCAGAACAGATTCAGAGCACCTTCTCTGGTCTGCCCAGGTTCAATTCCAAATGCAGAGAAGACACAACATAAAAAGATGATTCTAGGGGCTGGGGATGTGGCTCAAGTGGTAGTGCGCTTGCCTGGCATGCGTGCAGCCCGGGTTCGATCCTCAGCACCACATACCAACAAAGATGTTGTGTCTGCCGAGAACTAAAAAATAAATATTAAAAAAAAAATTCTCTCTCCTCTCTCACTCTCTCTTTAAAAAAAAAAAAAGATGGTTCTGGACTGTACATTTAGCTCAGAAATTGACACATGCTTAGTATGCACAAGGATCTGGGTTCAATTCTCAGCATGAAAAAAAAAAGTGGCGGGGGTGGGTGGGTGAATACAACAAAGGAACCCTGATACCTGTAGGGAACCAAGATTGAGAACTACAGCCCAACCCCAGACCCTGTTAACCAATTTCTTCTGTTAATTAACCCTGTTAATCTCAAACTACACAAAGTAAAGTAAACCCACCTGCTCGAGGGGAATGTCCAGATCCCCCATGTGGACCTTGTTGTCTGTCCTGTGAGCCACCAGGACATGCTGGACAGTTGGACAATTCTTCACAGCTTCATCCACTATTTTCTTCAGCTCCACCACACGCCCTCCCCGGAGTCCTTGGTTGAAAGTGATAACCACCTTGCATTTGGCTAACAGAGACAACACGGACATGTCTAATCAGTTTCCTCCCTGCTTCAACCCTCCTGGCCCAACTTGAAGCCACACATCCCAGGCCTAAGAGTGTCATAAAGTTTCATTTTGAGTAAAAAAATCAATCAAAAGAGTGGCTTTGCTATGCAGCAGCACCAGGTCTTTCCCAGCTCTGAAGATGAACAAGAAGGAACCAGAAACAAATGACAATGAAGCTCAACTTCTCCTCCTTCATGTTGGCAGCATAAAGACAGTTTCCAAACCAACTTCCACCCTTCCTCCCATCTTCCCCAGGTGAGGGGCTGTCACGCTGCCCATGGCAAAATGGTAGCAGTGCAACACTGAGAGGTAAAGGCCAAGCCCACAATGTCCCAGTTCCAGGGGAATTTTTGTAAGCCAAGAACCTTCACTGTCCAGAGAATAGAGACCCCTCCACCCCTGGTGGCTTCCCAGGAGCTGTCCACTTACCCTCACCTTTAGATCAATGCTCCTCCCTGGTTGCATTTGATCTTCAATGACTGAACCCGGGTCAGCCAGGCCCAGGATTATACTGGGGAACCTGAGCTTCCTAAGACAATGAGGCAAGGCCCAGAGCAGGAAAAGAGAGACACACAAACTTGGGCATGAGGATCATAGGCAAAGGAATTACCCTTTGCACCGTACTCTAATGTGGGATAACCCAGAGGGAACAAGACTGAGGTGGGTCATTATATAGTTATTCTAACGAAAAGTCTGGAAAAAAATATCCATTGTAGCAATAGGCTGTACCGAGGGCCTATTGTAGAGCAAAGTGCAGAAGTTCTGAGGAATTACTTCCACCCCAGCTCTCCTCTATCAATGACTCTCAACAGAAGAATAAGTACTTCAACTCCCCTACCTGCATGAGGGGTCATCCTGATGCACATGAGCTATGCTATCACTCAGGCTTCCCTGTGGATGAAGTTCTGGCTGCCCAATGTAGACCCATCTTTCTGAACCCACTTCCCAATGCCTGAGGACCACCTGCCAGATAAACTGCCTACAGTGAGACTCTTGTCTCAGGATCTCTTCTATGAGAGCAATATGTCACCATATTCCTGAGCCATATTCCTGTCTGAAAATACTTTTGAGCTACATGCCCAGGATCTTTTTCCTCCTAAGAGCCCTAGAGATGTCATGAACTTGAGGGCTGTAAGAATTCTCCAGCACAGGACTTTGCAGCCACATGACCCCATAATAGGCCCATCTCTAGATTGGAGAGACTGGAGAGATACTCTAGACCTGCCCAGGAGTAGCCATACTTTCATGGGGCACTAGGACACCCACATGGGTCTGGCCACATATATTCTTTGCTCTTCAGACCTTAGCAATATGTCACCTAGAGAAACTGAGTCATATGAGGCCTATCAGAGACTCTCCAACTCTACATCCCTGTAGGGGGGTGTGACCTGAGTGAGTGCCCGATAGATGAAGAAGGAAGATGACCATCTCCCACCCATCTCCCATGCAGAAGTGGCAGCTCCTTCTCCAGCCTCCATGACTCATACTTCACTCCTGCATTCTCACCTGTCCAGGGCCCCCCTGCCCAAGCTGTTCTCAAGGTCAGGACCCAGGGAGAGTACCTGGGAGGACAAGGTCATCTCACCCACGGGATCCCTCCACAGCAGACTAATGGGGACAGAGCTAGTGGGGCATAGGCAGGAGCCATGTGACACTACCTGGGAGGCCTCAACTGTCCCTTCCTGGTTTGGAACAGGTCTTGGAATCTGTGTTTGTTCTCAATCACTCCCATGGAAATGACCACAAATTTGGTGGCTGAGGACACCTCTTTTTAGTTCACTGTTTACAGAACAGATAGGCTTGAAGGTGCTCTGGGCAGAGTCTTGCAAGGCAAAAAAAAAAAAAGGTGTTGGCAGGCTGAGCTCCCATCTGGAAGCTCTGGGGAAGGATCTGCTCCCTGGCCCAACTGGCTATTGGCAGAACTAAGTTCCATGAGACTTCAGGTCCAAGGTCTTCATTTTCTTGCTGACTGTCAGCCCTGAACCATTCTTAGCTTCTAGAACCACCCACATTCCCTGGCTCATAGTCCTCTTTATCTTCATACAGCAATAAGCAAGAGAGAAGATAAAAGAATAATGGTGACAGCCTGGAAGCCGGGACAGGTGACTGGAACTCTAGAATCATGCATACCAATGAAGGTGGCTACCTGGCTCATGGCAAGACCCAGGTGGTCACACTCAGAAAATACACCAACCCTCCTAGTGGTAGACTGAAGATAGCTACAGATTCTTTGACCTAGTCTTATGGAGAAAGATGATCTAGGTCCTTTCCCCTTGTATCTGGACTGGCCAGTGAATGGTTTGACCAATGAAGTATTAAAAAAAAGGATGCTCTGTGTATTCTAGTCCTGACCATGAGGACAATCAGGCAGTCGTGGATATAATCCTGTCAATAGTATTGAGTTGAGGGTTTTTGCATCATTTTTCATAAGGGATATTGGTCTACAGTTTTCTTACAGTGGCTTTGGTATTAAAGTAATGCTGCCCTCATAAAAAGGATTTTGGAGGATTCTCACCTCTTCAGTTTTGGGAAGAGCTTGGGAAGAATTGATGTTAATTATTCTATAAATTGGTTAATTTATCAATGAAACTATCTGGTCCTGGTCTTTTCTTTGGTGGGAAGTTATTATTTTCTCTTTAAAGATGAAGAAACCGAGGCACAGAGACATTAAGTGACATATTCAGAGTCAGGCTCTTCCACCAGAGTTTATTCTTTTAGCATTACACTGGGATGCTCTTTTCCTCTCTTGCTGGTGTGGCCATGGTTATTAAGTGTGTTTGTTAAGATGCTTTGAGACAAGCAATAACAGTTGACTCTGGAAAACTCTGGAAGACGAGGGATTTGGTACCTGGATGCTGGGATAGTGCCCAGAATCTCAGGATTCTTAAACTACCAGCTTGGGAAAGCAGAGGTCTCACCACTTCTGAGGGCCTTATCAGGGGACCTGTAACATTTTTTCAGAACGTTGCCACTAAGAAAAACTTGCCCCAACACCCTCTGGTTTCTGTGTCCAGCTCTCCTGGTATTAAGTTTCTTGGGGCAAGACTCTGTTAAGACAGTGTCTGGGTCCTCTTGGGCCAACAAGAGACACTCTTGATTCTCTTTTCCTGTATAACAAACTGCACCAAAACTTAGTGCTTAAAACAATAACTGAACATAATATATTTTGTTTTCATAGATGCTCCTACGATCAGTGGGATTTACCCCAAGAAGAAAGGGTGGTCAACATGCACAAACCAATCTATGCAATATAACACACTGACAGAGGGAAGGAAAAGCCGAAATGTAGAAAAAGCATTTGAAAAAAATTCAATACTCTTTCATGATTAAAAAAAAAAAACACTTGTCAAACTAGGAGTCAGAAGGAACCTACTTAACCTGATAAAGAGCATCTATGAAAATCAATAGCTAACATCATACTCAACATCAGAGACCAAAGCATTCCCTCAGGATCAGAATGAGACTAGGATGCCTACTTTCCCCACTGTTATTCAACATTATAACAGAAGTCCTAGCCAGAAATATAAATTAAAATCATCCAAACTGGAAAGGAAGAAGTAAAACTATCTCTATTCACAGATGACATGATCCTATAGGTAGAAAATCCTAAGAAATACACACACACACACACACACACACACACACACACACACACCACTGAAATTAATAAATAAATCAGCAACTTTATAGGGTAAAAAATCAAAATATGCAAAAATAATTTCTGTCTCTATACACAAGCAAAAGATATTAAGAAAACAATTCAATTTACAAAAACTTCAGGCTGGGTATGGTGGCACACGCCTGTAATCCCAGCAGCTTGGGAGGCTGAGGCAGGAGGATCGTGAGTTCAAAGCTAACCTCAGCAATGGCAAGGTGCTAAGCAACTCATTGAGATCCTGTCACTAAATAAAATACAAAACAGGGCTGGGGGTGTTGCTCAGTGGTCACATGCCTCTGAGTTCAATCCCTGGTACCAAAAAATAAATAAAAATTCAGAAATAATAAAATACTTAGGAAAATGTATACAAGGAGGGGCCAGACATATACACTAAACCCTACAAAACATTGCTAGAAGAAAAAATTTTTTTTTCAGTACTATAGATTGAATCCAGAGGTACTCTACCACTGAGTTATAACCCCAGTCCTTTTTATTTTTATTTTGAGACAGAGTCTCATTAAGTTGTGAAGGCTGGCCTTGAACTAGCATCACTCCTGCTACAGCCTCTCCAGTAGCTGGAATTATAGGTATACACTATTGTACCCAGCTTGTAGAAGAAATTTTTTAAAGGCTTAAATATAAAGAAATCCATGATCTGGGATTATATTGTTATGACAGTGCTTGCCAATTTTTCAACAAATTCAATGCAATTCACATCAAAATCCAACAGCCTTTTACATGGAAATGGAAAAGCTGACCCTAAAGTTCATGGAAATGCAAGAGACCAAGAATAGCCAAAACAATCTTAAAAAAAAAAATACAAAGTTGGAAGACTCATACCTTCTGATTTCAAACCTTTCTGTAAAGCTATGCTATCAAAACAGTTTGAGATAAGAATAGACAGGCACAATATAGAATACAGAGCCCAAAAGAAGCCCATATGGTCAAATTATTTTCAAGAAGCGCAGGCTAAGGTTGTACCTCAGTGGTAAAGCACTTGCCCAGCATGCACAAGACCCTGGTTTTCATCCCCAACCCTACAAAGGGTGCCATTCAACAAGGGAAATAATGGTTTGTTTGACAACTGGTGCCAGAACCACTAGATATCCATAGGGCAGAGAATGAAATTGGACCCTGACCTTATACACTATACAATAAATAACTTAAAATGACTGGTACACAGCTTTGTGGTAGAGCACCTGCTAAGCACATGTGGACCTCTGGGTTTGATATACAGTGGGGAGCAAAAACAAAAAACAAACAAAAAAAAAAAACCTCAAAACGAATCAAAGACCTAAATGTAAAAACCAAAACTACAAAACCCTTAGAAGAAAATATAGAAGCAAATCAATATGATACCATCTGCAATGGTTTTTTACAATAATACAGCATAAGAAAAAGCAACTAAAGAAAAAATAAACTACTTTATCAAAATTAAGAACTTTTGTGCACCAAAGAACACTACTGAGAGAGTAAAAAGACAACCTGTAAATCATAAAGAGGATCTGATAAAAGTCCACCATCCAGCCAGGCACAATGATGCATGCCTATAATTCCAGCAACTCAGGAGGCTGAAGCAGAAGAATCGCAAATTAAAGGCCAGCCTGGGCAACTTGGCAAGACCTTGTCTCAAAAAATAAAAAGGGCTGGGCATATAGCTCAGTGGTAGAGCATCCCTGGGTTCAATCCCTAACACAAAATTAAATATATATATATATATATATATATATATATATCCTTTTCAGCATCCAGAATATAATAAGGAACTCCTAAAACTCAATAACAGGGCTGGGATTATAGCTCAGTGGTGGGGCACTTGCCTCACACATGTGAGGCATTGGGTTTGATCCTCAGCACACATAAAAGTAAATAAATAAAATAAAAGTATTGAATCCATCTACAACTAAAAATATTTTTTTTAAAAAAACTCAACAACACATGGACAAATGACCAATTAAAAAACAGGCAAAGTGTTTAAGCAGACATTTTCTCTGAAGAAGACATATAAATATGTGTTGGTCAGCTTTGCATTACTGTGACCAAAATACCTGATAAGACCAACTTAGAAAAGCTTATTTGGTCTTATGGTTTCAGAGGTTTAGTCCATGGTGGGTCAACTCCATCACTCTGGGCCCATGGGAAGGCAGAACATCATGGTCAAGGAGCATTGATTACTCACTTATTATTCATAAAGCCATGGAAAAGGGGAAGGGGCCACAGAGGAGAGGAACCCTTCCAGGGTATACCCACAATGACCCACCTCCTCCATCCATGCCCCACCTGCCTACAGACACCACCCAGTTAGTCCATTCAAACTAGGATGGAATGATTATCTTACAGCTCTCATAATCCAATTATTTTACCTTTGAATATCCCTGCATTAACAAGGAGCTTTTGGAGGGACATCTTATATCCAAACCATAGCACTGGCCAAAAAGCACAGAAAAAGATGCTCAACAGTATTAGTCATCGGGGAAATACAAATCAAACCACAGTGAGATACTGCTTTATTCTCACTCTGACAGTATAATTTTTTAATGGAAATTAACCAGAGCTGATGAGGATGCAGTTTCTGGAACCCTCATATGTTACTTGTGGGAATGTAAAATAGTGTAGCCCTTTTGGGAAACAATTTTGCTATTTTTCAAAGAGTTAAACATAGAATTACCATATGAACCAGCAATTCTGCTCCTAAGTCTATACTCTCAAAATTGAAAGCAGGTGTTCTTGCATATGAACATTCATAGCCAATCCATTCTCCAGTCCAAAAGTGGAAACACCTCAACTGTCCCTCAACTGCTAAATGGATTAACAAAATATGATATATCCACACAGTGGAACATTAATCAGCTACAATAGGAAGTAAAGTACTGATACATATTACAGCATGGCTGAACTTTGAAAAACTCAGGCTTAGTGGGGAAAAAAAAAAAAGCCAAACACAAAAGATCATGTATTGTACAATTTCCTTTATTTGAAATATCCAGAATTGGCAAATCAAAAAATAAGTGGTTGCCAGAGATTAGACAGGAGGAAAGGGGTATAACTTTTTTTTTCTTTTTTTTTGGGGGGGGGGCAGGGAGCAGTACTAAAGAGTAAACCCGGGACACTACCACTGAGTTACATTCCTAGCCCTCTTCACTCTTTATTTTGAGACAAGTTCTCACTAAATTTCCCGGCTTGCAATCCTCCTATCTCAGTCTCCAAAACTGCAGAGATTTACAGGAGTGTGCCACCACCCCCAGATCAGGAATGCCTTCTTGGCAGGTATAACATGCCTGGTTGGGGCCATGAGAAAGTTCTGGAACTAGATAGTGATGCTGATTGTACACCACTGCAAATGTACTTACTGCCACTGAGTTTTACTCTTTGAAATGGTCACAGTGAAAATTTTAAAGGAGAAAAACAAAATAAGAGTACAATTTTATACAAATGCATGAGGACTAAGTTAGTAAAAATTAAAGAAGATAATCTTTGCAAAGTGCTTTGAACAGTGTCTGGCACAGATTGGGTGCTGTAAAGTTCTAGAGAGGCGAAAAGCAGAAGAGATGGCAGCACCATTCCTTGAAAGTGGATGAGAAACCCTAAAGGGGAGTTGAAGGGCTTCCGGGACATTTTTAAAAAGGCTGGTCAGCAGGTTCTAAAAACTCAGTCCTTTAACTCTGCTCAATTCACAGGCAAGTCTTCAGTGAGACAGAAGAACTCTAAATGGTTCCCGGAAACTGGCACCTTCTTTAGAAAGCCAGCTCAGGGGACTCTGTAAGAAGAGCAGGAATAAGACTGCACAGACACTGGGCCACCAGCCACATACTGGACAATGATCCAGACACTCAGCCCTTTGACAATAGCAAGAGCGGGGAGACACTATTGTTCTGCTCTGTCCAGGAGTCTAACCTGCAGTCAGAAACCCTTAAGGATATATCTATCACATGCCCCCTCACCTGACTCCAGATCTCTGGAGATGATTCACCCCTTTGTTCCGCACAACAGAAAGCTACCAACCTGCAGTACCTCCTCATGCACAGCCTCACCTCAATTTCCCTACTTTTCCCTCCTGTGCTACAACCAGGCCAGCTTCCTCCTGGCCTCACACACACTAAACTCTTGCCACCATCAGCCTATTTTCTCTACCTGGAACTCTCTCCTCCCTTCTTCTCCTGGCTAAATCCAACATGCTCAGATCTCAGCTCACAGAACAAAAGCTTGGTCACCCATGTAGTCACCCTGGTAGCATTGTCATTTGGCTGTGTAACTTTTCATTTATTTCTAGCCCTACTTCTAGTCTCCTCCTTGGTAACCAGGCCCCACAGGAACAAGGACCAGGGGATTCCTGGGTTCTTCCTTTCCCCAGTCCATGTGCTCACCATCGTTGATCCTCCCAGCCAAGGACTCTGCACTGAATCCAGCAAAGACAACTGTGTGGACAGCTCCGATTCTGGCACAGGCCAGCATTGCTGCCACACTCAGTGGAGACACAGGCATATAGATGGCCACACGGTCCCCTCGGTGTACTCCATGCCTCTTCAGCGTGTTGGCCAGGCGGCAGGTGGTCTCCAGCAGTTCTCTGTAGTACAGGGAAGAGAAAGCCATCAGAGATAGGAAAGAGCCAAGACACAGAAATTTTTTTTTATTCCTGTTATATAATTTCTTTTTTTTTTTATTGGTTGTTCAAAACATTACAAAGCTCATGACATATCATCTTCCATACATGGGCTGAAACAATTCACAAGTGGCAAGTATCATACCTCCAGCCCAGTGCACAAAATTTAGCAGGTACCAGAATACTTGTTGCATAGCAAGTTCATTTCCAGAAAGAAATAATTTTAACATTTGTACATTCACTGAGACATTGCTAAGCTGATAAGTCTATCTTTGCCACCACATGTATCTGAAGCACAGATTATATATAAGGGACGTCTGAAAATATTCTCCTCCAAAAGAAAGACCCATCTCATTAGTTAGATCTTCAGTAAGGAAACAGGAGACCCCAGTTTTCTGAACAACACAGGCCAGTGGCCAAGAAACCCTCTTGCCAGTCAGGGTCACAGGCCTTAATAGAAGAGTCCTCAATTCTGTGAAGTCAGAATCTGGAGGGAAGGTAGGATGGGATCTGCAACCCTGCTGGAAGCCCAGAAGCAGAGATGGCAGGCACTAAATAAGCACAGGAGCACAGATGGGTGGTTCCCCTTGGTTTAAGCGGTATCAGTGCCCAACCCCTCCCGGTCCTACCACAAACTTGAGTTCACCAGCCAATCAGAACTCAATCAAACCTGAACCTAGATGAGTAGGTTAGGAGTGACACGTGATCCATTCCAGCCCATCAGAATCCAAAACGCTTATCTCTAAGTACTTGAGAGCTGCCTCCTTGTACTGTGCGGAGCAGAAAATGAAGAAAAACAAAGGCAATTGCGGAAGCAAGCTGAGACCTATTGTCCATATCCTTCAGTTCCCTTTAACTATGTTCCAGCCTATCTCACTGAACTTGAACTTGGCAATTGCAGTAACCAGTCATTCCCCTATTTTTGCTGTTTAATTTTACCCAATTTTTTTTTTAAATAAAAAGAACTAGCACAGATGGATAGGATGAGAAGAAACCCCTTTTCTCTGGACTTGGGCTCTCTACCACTCGTCACATTCCGGTTCTCTGCATTGCTGAAAAGGGCCCCTGAGCCGGGCAGCACAGAACTCTGCAGATGCGTTAGAGGCAAGACCCTCCCTCCTTTGAGCTATGCAAGACCTAATAAGTTTAGTTCCCCTTTGTTCAAAGAGCTGTCAAAGATGAAGCTCATTAAGAGGCTGCTGGGAAACCACAGTGAAATGAAAATGAAGGGTCCCCATCTTAAGCAGGGACCTCAAGGAGAGCTTTGTTTCCTGCCAATGCCATCCTGCAAAGGAGACCAGATGAGAACCAAATCCCAAGTCCAGCCTGCACTTCTCCCAGGCTGGGGAGCTCCCGCCCAGCCTGGATCCAGCCCCTCTTGAGGAATTTCATCTTTTCTTTTTAAAGCTTTCAAAGGAGGACAAAGGCACCATTGAGTGGCGCTCCACCCACCCCTTGCCTAAGTTCCAAGGAAAGAGCACCCCCCTGACCAAAATCACAGACTCTAGGGCCCAGAAACACTCTTAAAGGAGGCTGTGAGGGCCTCCTACAGTGCTAAAGAAGCAACTTGGGTCAACACAAAAGAGCAACTCTGAGCCTTCAAAGGGGGGTCCATTTTCATAGCTCTGAGGGCTTAAGCCTCTGGGCAGTGTAGAGGGAGATGGAGGTTTGACTGCCATCAATCAATGGTGTTGAAATTCAGCTTTTATTCTACAGACCTAAAGCAGCAGTTTGAATGTGGACTCTCCATATAGAAAGACTCGGGTTAACTTTCTGTAATAGCTGCCCTGGCAGGGGAGCTTGTACTTCTCAGTTGCCATATAATTGTGAGAAAAAGTAAGCACCATCTATCTCATTTAACTGATGCAAGCATTAATGAGAAAAAGGAGCCACCCAGGACCCTGCTGAATATTCAGTAGGTATTCTCTTTCCCAACAGATGAGAATTCCCAGAAATCTTTGAAATCTTTCCTAACATGACTAAAATCAACTAACTTACTTGGTGATTAAAAAAAAATCTCATTTTAAGCACCTAGAATCCCATTCAAGGCATCTTCACAGGGAGATGTGCAAGGATTTTGGCACTGGACAAAGAAAATGAGAGGGATAATGTCCTGGAGCTCAGTCACTGGGGGCAGCACAGCAAGCTTTCAGGACAGAAGATTGAGCCAGAAAGGAATGAGTGGGTTTTCCCTGGGAGGGCAGAAGTTGCCCAGCCACTGAAACTGGGCAGCTAACCACAGTCCAAAGGAGGCTCTACAGACCAGGTTGAGGCTGACCACGTGTTCCCTGGAGAACTAAAGGCTTCAACATGCACCAAGGAGCTGGAGCTTCCATGTGTTCCTTGGGAGACTGAGGGCCTCCATATGCACCTAGTGGCCTGGTGCAAATCTAGGTCTTGAAATCATTGAAAAATAAATGCTGTTCAAATAGTTCTGTCTAAGTACTCTGAAACTGTTCAAAATCATGTTTTTGAATATTTGTGACTTCTCAAACTCTTCCACAAACCAAAATGCTACTGCTTCCACATCAAAAAAAAAAAAATAACGTTTGACTAGGAGGTATAGCTCAGAGTGCAGCACTTGCCTGGCATGTGCAAAGACCTGGGCTCTATCCCCAGCACCACAAAAAGAGAAAAAAAGAAAAAAGAAAAAAAAAAACAGCCACTCAGAAGAGCTTTTGGGCCTTAGCTTCCGGAAACCTCAGCTTCCTCTTTGTTACAGGATATTCGATCTTGCACCTAGTGCACTTTCCAAGGTTCAGCAACAGGCAGCTTTCTTAGAAATGATACCAGTAAAATGAGTTAGAGCTTTAAGTTCAAGGAGTAATATAACACTTGGTCAGGTACTGAGCAGGACATTAAAGTTTGTCTGCAATGTAGACTACTCAAGGCCCAGCTTTTACTGTAGACCAAATATTTTTCTGGCTGGCCTTCAGGGGCTGACTGGCCCTTCCGTATGCAACTCATAACATCGACTGGGAATAATTTGTGTTCAGTATTAAAGATACAATATCTGACTGCAAGAATCTGTCACCAACATGACACCTGCATGAACTCAGACTATAATGCACCCCCTGCTCCCCAGCCTCAGGATCTAATATAAGCCCAAAACAGGAAACAGCTGGAAACAGAGTTCAGAGAAAAGAGAAGGAAGAAATGCACTGGTATTTGCTTTCATACATCTTCCAATCAAAGCTGTTTCTTCATGGTTAATATTTGAAAGTATCTTTCTCTCCTAGCCATTTCCTGATACCAGCCCAGGGAATTAAGATAAGTTGTTTCTATGCTGTGTTTAAGGAATAAATTGAGAGCCAAGATTGTTGGCACATTCCTGTAATCCCAGCAGCTCAGGAGACTGAGGTAGGAGGATCATGAGTTCAAGGCCAGCGTCAGCAATTTAGCAAGGCCTTAAGCAACTTCGTGAAACCTTGTCTCAAAGTAAAAAACAAAGGACTGGGCCTGTAACTCAATGATAAAGTATCCCTGGGTTCAATCCCCAGTGAGAGAGAGAGAGAGAGAGAGAGAGAGAGAGAGAGAGAG